AACCACCAGTGCCATTCATAGAGATTCCAGACACTAAGGTTTCTTATATATTGCAAAACCACTGATTACAAATATCAAATATTTGTCTGCACAAAAAGTCAAGAAAGGGAATTTGGTGAGCTGATATTAACACTTGATAATTCCTTGTCACATTTTACATTCACTTTGTACATGGATTCTAAATATGTCTTTCTAAATTAGAGAAAAAACACGTGATATTTATATATAGTCATATCTTACCATCAGAAAAATATATACAAAATAATAATAATAATAGTAATAGTATAATATAATAAAAAATAAATAAAAAAATAAAAACACTGATACTTTATATAGGTCTACCACTTGAAAACTCGAATATATGGGGGGAAAGAATCCAATAAAGTTGAAGCAAAATACAGCCTTATTGCAAAACAAGACACACGAAGGAGTCAAGCAGGAAGGTTGATGTAAACAAGAGAAAGAGAAAGTTATTGGAACCTGATTTCATTATTCTTTTAAAAGCTTCTTTTTCCAGTTATTAGAGACAGATCCCGGACAACATCGAAGTGGAGGTTGAACGAAGAGAAAAATTAGGGAAATTTTCTTAGTTGTCTTGTCCTTTCGGTCTCCTTTCTCTGTGTGGATGTGAAGAGGAAATAGATGTATCATGAAAAAAAAGAAAAGAATGATGAAAGGTCTTATGCATGAAATACACATGAGTGACAGATTTTTTTTTCTTTTAACAGTTTGGGAATACATTGAAGTTTGTATTTCATTATGTGGAAATAGGTTGTGAAAAAATAACGATTGAAAATTCTGAACCAAAGACACATTTAGATAAAAGAAAGTATTATATAAAATCATTTTTCGTAGCTCACAAAGAAACAAATAATTACAATATAAAATCAGCATTCCGTTATATATAGTTCCGTTCACAAGACACCGTTAGATTAAATCAAGAAATCTAAAAAAAGATGAAAATAGAATCACTAAAATATGAAATGAATTTCCTGTAAACCTCACCTCTCACCAGTACGGCCTGTATCCGTACCCGCCGCCGAGGCCGCCATAGCCTAAAATGACACGGTGGCCACCATAGCCGTGTCCGTATCCGTGTCCAATGTGTCCGTATCCGATGATGCGGTGTCCGTATCCTCCGCTTGGGTCGGGGAAGGCGAAGGCGGAGACAGCCAGCAGAACCACGACCAGGAGTCCGAACACGACGCGGGAAATCTGCATCCCAACATGATTATTTTTTTTCTATCAATTTTATTTTACTCATTTCATGTTAGATGTTTCATTTTATTTCTTATGTCTTTAATTTTACTTATTCTATTTTATATCTTTTACTTTCGTTTTTTTACTTTTGTTTTTGTTTATATTGTTTACGTATTTCGTAATGGTTTTGCATTTCAGTATATATTTTTATTTATGTATTACTTTTGTTATCATTACAATAACCATAATATATGGAAAACTAGAAAAAAACACTCGCAACCGTGGTAGCTAATAATAAATGGTATATATTCGTCATACTTACCCTAATACCTAAACCTGGATGGTACTGACCGCTATGACTTTGATAATAGTTAATTTTTGTATTCTTGAAACCAATATAATCAAAAAAAAAAAAATATCGCACTATAATCAATTATCATCGGCTGCAACAGCTAGTAATGGCTCAATTACTCGAAAGTCAGAGGAGGGGAAAAGCCTTGTGTCCAAAATTATCCTAAAGCATAAAGGTCATAACACAACACACAAACATACTCTCTTTCCTCAAACACACACTTACTCTCACACTCACACAGCACTCACACACACACACACAGTCTCACACATACACATATATGTACACACTTGCGCGTATTGATAGATAGACAGAAATATTATATATAATATATATATATATATATATATATATATATATATATATATATATAAGATGGATAGATAAGAAATGCGTAAATTTAGAAATAATCATAATACAATATCACTCTGTTAGTTACCAAACACATTGAAAGACTGGAAGCTAATGTCAAATAAGGATGTGTTACCATTTTGGAGGAGAGAGAGAGAGGGTGTTGACTGCAGCGAGAACAGAAGTCGACTGAAGAAGCATCTCTTCTCTTGATGCTTTATAGGTGTCTTGGTGCCAAACCTTGGTAACAAGGAAGATACTAGAGGATTTTTCCTGTGTTTTTTTGTTCCTCTTCAATGTTAGCTAACGGTAAGGCGGAAAAAGGTTGATTTTTGTTTATGTGTAATGTATTTATCTGTATCTATATCTGTTTATCTATCCCTCTATCTGATGTATTTATACTCATATATGTAGTCTCTCAGCGTAATAGATATCAGTTGAAGATAATAATATAAGAAATGACAAATAATCTGTATGAGAATATTAACAACTGAATCAGTAATAATAATAAATACACATTCAACAATAACCAAATTACTACATAAAAAGATTATAATCTTTACCTCATTTTTGGAATGCTGGTTGCTTTAACTAGACAGTCTTTCAAAACGTCGCAGCTGGAATCCTATATTCAAAATTCTTTAGCTTTTTTTTATGAATGAATCGACGCATGGAATACTACAGCGTGGTCAGTCTGGGAAAAACATCAACTGGCAACTCACGGCAGACTCTGAATCACTCCGATTCAAGTTTATTTTCCATACTTTTACTATTTTTCATTTTTAATTCATATCATGTATCTTTATCATTCTAAACAGATTTTATCTAATACTCATGTTTTGGCTGGTTTTGTATTTCTAAAATTGGTCTGTTGATATGGCTGAGTTCATTATTTTAGGAATGGAAAAGTTAATTAAAATTTATGCCTGTTCATGAATATCATAAATTATAAAACACAGACACCTCTTGTTTCATGTTATTAGTATTATGTTTTAGATATTATGCTAACCAACTTATTAATAATATATGATATTGTTATTATTGTTAGACTGCAAATAATTTATAATTTCCTAATTTCAGTATGTCTTTGATATTATTCATAACGTCGTTTTTAAAAGCTCAATTCACTCACACATCTTATCAATGAATGAAGCAAATTAACAAAAACAATCGACTATTAAAGATTAAAAATATACAAAAATTGAGCTTACTCGACGCCAGTGACGTCATTCGCCTGGTGAGCAAGTGATGAAGAATTCCTCATCGGGAGAAGCTCGAGTTGGGCATCTTTGTTGACAAGGTCGTTGGGTTGTGTATAGGCGAGGCATCTCACTCTTTCGTCCGTCTCTCTCTCTCTCTCTCTCTCTCTCTCTCTCTCTCTCTCTCTCTCTCTCTCTCTCTATATAATATATATATATATATATATTATATATATATACATATATACATACACACACAAATATATATGTACATACATAACTACATATATCAATATAGTGTTTATAAATGTATATATATGTATATGTATGTATATGAATATATATTATATACACATGCATATACATACATACATGTATATATATATATATATATATATATATATATATATATATATATATATAATATTATATATATATATATATGTTATTTTCAAATGTAATTTCATTTTGTATAGAAATGCGAAGTTTTTGAATGACTATTGTTTTGCATTATGTAACGTTAGTGATGGATGATAAGTTATTCATACATTGTTTATACGCTATTAAAATGGGTTGTCATTGATGGCACTACCGTTTGTTTGTTTACATAATGAAAGTATTTCGAGGAGATTCATTGAAAAAAATTCATTGCCTTTTCATGTGCCTTTAAAATGTTAAAATTGTTAACCGTATAGTGCATTTCAATTCGTTTGTGCAACATGGTGGCCAGAGGAGTCCGCTAGCAAAGCCTGGACCAAGTGCTGGGGCCGTAGGATCGCGGTCCATGTTAAAGAGCCCTTTCGTAGTTCGTAGTTTCGTATGCTGTCGTTGTTTCTACTTATATTGTGCATTCATAAAATGATCTAGTGTATTCGTGATATTTCATCTATTTATGTATTTTATTGTAGGAGAAAATTAGAATTGAGGATCTTACACAAATGATGAGAAAATATAGAATTTGGCAAGATGATATATAAACAATACACACTGATTTTAATCTGTCATGCGTTGTAAAGGAATGAAGGATTCCTTGTCTGATATTATATATATAGAATTAAGATCATCAAGAATTTATTTGATTTAATTTATTAACAAGAGAATAATTATTTTATTTAATTTAGTTTGTAACGTTGGCTACAGTGACGCTAGAGTTGTACGAACGCCCTACAAAAACGCATTGTTGTGAATCCGCGGAGCCCTGCTAGAGAGCCACGTGAGACGCCTTGTGCTGCGTACTTTTAAACTATTCTTGTTTTGTGAAGATTTGAGCTAGCCACGCTCTTTTCACCACGCTCACGCGCACGTGTATGTAGTCATCTTGCAAGTTGGATACACTGCTCATACCTACCAGCTTGTGAACATGACAATAAAGGTTTAACTGACTGCTAGTGTTTTACTTGAAGCAGTACATGCGTATACTTGTATATGTATGTATGTGTGCGTATGTGTGAAAAAAATACAGAAGACACAAAATGTAATTTCCCAGCAGAAGTAACTATGATATGCTTAAAATGTTTTGGAAAACCACCAGTGCCATTCATAGAGATTCCAGACACTAAGGTTTCTTATATATTGCAAAACCACTGATTACAAATATCAAATATTTGTCTGCACAAAAAGTCAAGAAAGGGAATTTGGTGAGCTGATATTAACACTTGATAATTCCTTGTCGCATTTTACATTCACTCTGTACACGGACTCTAAATATGTCTTTCTTAATTAGAGAAAAAATACGTGATATTTATATATAGTCATATCTTACCATCAGAAAACTATATACAAAATAATAATAGTAGTAGTAGTAGTAGTAATAAAATAAATAAAATAAACACGTGATACTTTATATAGTCTACCACTTGAAAACTCAAATATATTTGGGGGAAAAAGAATCCAATAAAGTTGAAGCAAAATACAGCCTTTATTGCAAACAAGACACACGAAGGAGTCAAGCAGGAAGGTTGATGTAAACAAGAGAAAGAGAAAGTTATTGGAACCTGATTTCATTATTCTTTTAAAATCTTATTTATCCAATTACTGGAGACAGATCCCGGACAGTTTCGAAGTGGAGGTTGAACGAAGAACAGAGAAGATTTAGGAAAATGTTCTTAGTTGTCTTGTCCTTTCGGTTTTCTTTCTCTGTGTGGATGTGAAGAGGAAATAGATGTATCATAAAAAAAAGAAAAGAATGATGAAAGATCTTATGCATGAAATACACATGAGTGACAGATTTTTTCCCCTTTTAACAGTTTGGGAATACATTGAAGTTTGTATTTCATCACGTAGAAATAGGTTGTGAAAAATAACGATTGAAAATTCTGAACCAAAGACACATATAGATAAAAGAAAGTCATATATAGAATCATTTTCGAAGATCACAAAGAAACAAATATTTACAGTATAAAATCAGCATTCCGTTATATATAGTTCAGTTCACAAGACACCGATAGATTAAATCAAGAAATCTAAACAAAGATGAAAATAGAATAACTAAAATATGAAATGAATTTCCTGTAAACCTCACCTCTCACCAGTACGGCCTGTATCCGTACCCGCCGCCGAGGCCGCCATAGCCTAAAATGACACGGTGGCCACCATAGCCGTGTCCGTATCCGTGTCCAATGTGTCCGTATCCGATGATGCGGTGTCCGTATCCTCCGCTTGGGTCGGGGAAGGCGAAGGCGGAGACAGCCAGCAGAACCACGACCAGGAGTCCGAACACGACGCGGGAAATCTGCATCCCAACATGATTATTATGTTTATATCTATATTATTTTACTAATTTCATGTTAGATGTTTCATTTTATTTCTCATGCCTTTAATTTTACTTATTCTATTTTATATCTTTTACTTTCATTTTTTTTTTTACTTTTGTTTTTGTTTATATTGTTTACGTATTTCGTAATGGTTTGCATTTCAGTATATACTTTTTATTTATGTATAGAACTTTTGTTATCATTACAATAACCATAATAGTAATATTGTGAAAAACTACAAAAAAACACTCGCAACCGTGGTAGCTAATAATAAATGGTATATATTCGTCATACTTACCCTAATACCTAAACCTGGATGGTACTGACCGCTATGACTTTGATAATAGTTTATTTTTGTATTCTTGAAACCAATATAATCATAAAAAAATATCGGCACTATAATCAATTATTCTCATCGGCAGCAACAGCTAGTAATGGCTCAATTACTCGAAAGTCAAGAGGAGGGAAAAAGCCTTGTGTCCAAAATTATCCTAAAGCATAAAGTTCATTAACACAAACACACAAACATACTCTCTTTTCTCTCAAACACACACTCTTACTCTCACACTCACACAACACACACACACACACACAGTCTCACACATACACATATATGTACACACTTGCGCGTATTGATAGACAGGCAGAGAGATAGATAGACATAGAAATATATATATGTATATATATATATATATATATATATATATATATATATATATAAGATGGATAGATAAGAAATACGTAAACTTAGAAATAATTATAATACAATATCACTCTGTTAGTTATCAAAAAACATTGAAAGACTGGAAGCTAATGTCAAATAAGGATGTGTTACCATTTTGGAGGAGAGAGAGAGAGGGTGTTGACTGCAGCGAGAACAGAAGTCGACTGAAGAAGCATCTCTTCTCTTGATGCTTTATAGGTGTCTTGGTGCCAAACCTTGGTGCCAAACCTTGGTAACAAGGAAGATACTAGAGGATTTTTCCTGTGTTTTTTTGTTCCTCTTCAATGTTAGCTAACGGTAAGGCGGAAAAAGGTTGATTTTTGTTTGTGTAATGTATTTATCTGTATCTCTGGGTCACTCCGATTCAAGTTTATTTTCCATACTTTTACTATTTTTCATTTTTAATTCATACCATGTATCTTTATCATTCTAAACAGATTTTATCTAATACTCATGTTTTGGCTGGTTTTGTATTTCTAAAATTGATCTGTTGATATGGCTGAGTTCATTATTTTAGGGATGAAAAAGTTCATTAAATTTATGCCTGTTCATGAATATCATAAATCATAAAAAAACACAGACACCTCTTGTTTCATGTTATTAGTATGAGATATTATGTTTAAGATATTATGCTAACCAACTTATTAATAATATATGATATTGTTATTAGTGTTAGACTGCAAATAATCTATAATTTCCTCATTTCAGTAATGTCTTTGATATCATTCATAACGTCGTTTTTAAAAGCTCAATTCACTCAGGCACCTTATCAATGAATGAAGCAAATTAACAAAAACAATCGACTATTAAAGATTAAAAACATACAAAAATGAGCTTACTCGACGCCAGTGACGTCATTCGCCTGGTGAGCAAGTGATGAAGAATTCCTCATCGGGAGAAGCTCGAGTTGGGCATCTTTGTTGACAAGGTCGTTGGTTTGTAATAGGCGAGGCATCTCACTCTTTCAATCCGTCTCTCTCTCTCTCTCTCTCTCTCTCTCTCTCTCTCTCTCTCTCTCTCTCTCTCTCTCTCTCTCTCTCTCTCTCTCTCTCTCCACGTGTACATACATATCTACATATATTTATATATTGTTTATTAATGTATACATATGTATATATGTATATGTATGGATATATGTACACACGCACGCACGCACTCACTCACGCACGCACGAACGCGCGCACACACACACACACATACACACACACACACACACACACACACACACACACACACACACACACACGCACACACACACACACACACACACACACACACACACACACACACACACACACACACACCACACACACACACACACACACACACATATATATATATATATATATATATATATATATATATATATATAGATATACACTAGAAACCTTCCTCAAGCTATTTTCAAAAGTTGTAAACTGCAAAGTTGTTGCATGACTATTGATTTGCATTATGTAACCTTAGTGAAGGATGATAAATTATTTATACATCGATTCTACGCTATTAAGATGTGTTGTCATTGATGGCACTATCATTTGTTTACATAATGAAAGTCGAAGGAATATCTCAAAGTATTTCGAGGAGATTAATGGAAAACTTTTCATTGACTTTTCGTGTGCCTTTAAAATGCGGAAATGTATTTCTTCCGCAAAAGATTCGCAGTTAGATTCGAGGCTGTCCTGATACTGCTATCGCATCGCGGCGGAACGTCAAAATTCGCATCAAATTCAGAAGACAACAAAATCAAAGATAAGAAAGATCACTTAAGGAGAATCTGATAAAAAGCTGTATGCCTCTCGACTGTTACTTCGACACCATTCTGCTGAAGAACGGCAAATTATTCTTTTGTAAGCTTTTCCGCTGTCGATCAAGCTGCGAGCCTCACGCGATCCACGCTTGGGCCGATCCGCGCTGCGAGGTGAACGGGCATTTCGAGTTTGAGCGGAAAATAAAGGAAAAAGGAGTAAACGGTGGAAAGAGAAAGTAGCGCAGCTGGCCGGGCTATTGTGCGCGCGCCACATCTCCAGTCTGATTATATATATGTATAGCTATCTATCTATCTATCTATCTAAACGCACATGTGTGTGTGCGTGTGTATTCATATACATATATACGATCGTATTTACATAGATATACATAGATACATACATACATATATATACATACATATATATACATATATATATACATATATATATATATATATATATATATATATATATATATATATATATATATATATATATATATATATATATATATATATATATATGAATGCACACACACACGCACACACACATATACGTATGTATGTTTGTTTGTCTCACTTTCTTTAATAAATCTAGTTTGTGCATTGCACACATACACACATACATATATGTATGTATGTGTGTATGTGTACACATATGTACATGCAGAAATACCAAATGCATCTCTTTTTGTTTTGTTGTTGATTGGCTGGATTTTTGTGTCTTTGTTTGTCGATTGATTATTGATATCTTTGTTTTATTTGTCTTTTTTGTTGTCTCTTTTTTCAATCTCGGGCCAGTTTGTCTCTGCCTTTGTCTGTCTTTATCTCTATCTACATCTATTTATTTATCATTCTCTCTCTTCCCTCCTACTTTCTCTCTGTCTCTCTCTTTCTCTTTCTCTCTCTCTCTCTCTCTCTCTCTCTCTCTCTCTCTCTCTCTCTCTCTCTCTCTCTCTCTCTCTCTCTCTC